AGCAAATGAGAGAGTGGGTGAGATTTATCAACAAATTTTGTTGAAAATAAGAAAAAAATTTTTTGGGGTGAATAACAAGTTTAAGGGAAACCTGGAGAACAAATGGATTTGTCAGTTAAAAATAGGAGAGGAAGTTATTAAATGGAGAGTTTAAAGGTATTTGGGGAAGATGGAGGAATATTTGAGGGAAATTTTAAATGTTGAGAAAAAGGGAAGCTGTGATTTCATTATAGGGCAAGGAGGAAAACATCTTGTAGAGTAAGAGCCGTTGTGAGTGTGGGGGAAGTTCGTGAGGCAGTAGGTAAAATGAAAGGAGGGATATATATGTATGTGTATATATATATATAATATATATATATATATTATATATATATATATATATATAATATATATATATAATATAATATACAACATACATACATACATACATACATACATACATACATAATATATATATATATATATATATATATATATATATATATATATATATATAATATATATATATGTGTGTGTGTGTGTGTGTATGTATGTATGTATGTATGTATGTAAAATGAAAGGGGGTAAGGCAGCCATGATTGACGGGATAAAGATAGAAATGTTAAAAGCAGGTGGGGATATAGTTTTGGAGTGGTTGGTGCAATTATTTAATAAATGTATGGAAGAGGGTAAGGTACCTAGGGATTGGCAGAGAGCATGCATAGTTCCTTTGTATAAAGGCAAAGGGGACAAAAGAGAGTGCAAAAATTATAGGGGGATAAGTCTGTTGAGTATACCTGGTAAAGTGTATGGTAGTTATTATTGAAAGAATTAACCCTTTGAGGGTCGACAGGCCCTCTCCGAAACTCGTTCTCAGGGTCGGCCAAATTTAAAAAAAAAAAAAATTATTTTCTCATATGAAAAGATAGAGAATCTTTTCCCGATCATAAGGACACCAAAAGTTTGAAATTTGATGGAAAACTTACGAAATTATGCTCTCGCTAAGTTAGCGGTCTTGGCAATGTTTACGCATCGGCGATTTTGCTCACTTTCAGTCCCATTTTCGGCCAATTCCACTCTACTAGTCGACAAAAAACATGAATATTTCGCTAGAACTCCATTTTTTCTTTCGAATGGGTGCAAGAAACCACCCATTTATGAAATTCAACTATGCAGTAAGTGGTCAGAATTTAGCAATTTTGCCAATTTCACACAAATTTCAAAAGATGCCAATTTCCGAATAGGGTCCAGAATAAACAAGAAAGACATTCCTTGCACTAAAATGACATTTCCTCTGGTCATTAGTCACGTCTCAAGGCCTCTCTTATATTCTTTTGCTTTCCACTTTGAATTTTTATTCTCACAAAAAATATAAGATTTACTGTTATGCAGACTACTGCATTAGTGTAAAAAATGGTATAAATATTATTGGTGCACTTGTGAAAGAATATTAGACTCACCAGTTGACGTGTATTGCACGCTTGGCACGATTTGTTTACTTTTGAAATTTGGTAAAAATCGAACATTTCTGCTACTTGAGCTCAATTTCAAGGTACCTTTCATTGTAAAACCAGTCAAAATCATCTCAATTTCTGTAATATGTCTTACATTCTATAAAATGAGATCAAGAAAACTAGAATACAACAATAAATAGCATACGAAAATACAGTGCAAAGTCACTGTTTTATTCCAAAAAAATGGTCAAAGTTTTTTTTTTCTCATTATGCACTGTGTGCTGCAGGATTTTTTTTAGACTGTGCACACTGACCACATAGACCCATTCTTTCATATGAAGGCCTACCAGCTTTCTCCCACTAGATTTGAGGGCGCTAAAATTTAGGCGTAATAGTATGTCAAAAACCCTGGGTCGTAAGCTGTACTAGAACGTCCGAAACCCTCAAAGGGTTAAGAGTAAGACGGAGAATAGGATAGATGAACAAGGAGGCTTTAGGAAAGGTAGGGGGTGTGTGGACCAGGTGTTTACAGTGAAACATGTAAGTGAACAGTATTTAGATAAGGCTAAAGAGGTCTTTGTGGCATTTATGGATTTGGAAAAGGCGTATGACAGGGTTGATAGGGGGGCAAAGTGGCAGATGTTGCAGGTGTATGTTGTGGGAGGTAGGTTACTGAAAGCAGTGAAGAGTTTTTACGAGGATAGTGAGGCTCAGTTAGAGTATGTAGGAAAGAGGGAAATTATTTCCCAGTAAAAGTAGGCCTTAGACAAGGATGTGTGATGTCACCGTGGTTGTTTAATATATTTATAGATGGGATTGTAAGAGAAGTAAATGCGAGGGTCTTGGCAAGAGGTGTGGAGTTAAAAGATAAAGAATCACACATAAAGTTGGGAGTTGTCACAGTTTGCTCTTTGCTGATGACACTGTGCTCTTGGAGATTCTGAAGAGAAGGTGCAGAGATTGGTGGATGAATTTGGTAGGGTGTGCAAAAGAAGAAAATTAAAAGTGAATACAGGAAAGAGTAAGGTAATGAGGATAACAAAAAGATTAGGTGATGAAAGATTGGATATCAGATTGGAGGGAGAGAGTATGGAGGAGGTGAATGTATTCAGATATTTGGGAGTAGACATGGCAGCGGATGGGTCTATGAAAGATGAGGTGAATCATAGAATTGATGAGGGGAAAAGGGTGAGTGGTGCACTTAGGAGTCTGTGGAGACAAAGAACTTTGTCCTTGGAGGCAAAGAGGGGAATGTATGAGAGTATAGTTTTACCAACGCTCTTATATGGGTGTGAAGCATGGGTGATGAATGTTGCAGCGAGGAGAAGGCTGGAGGCAGTGGAGATGTCATGTCTGAGGGCAATGTGTGGTGTGAATATAATGCAGAGAATTCGTAGTTTGGAAGTTAGGAGGAGGTGCGGGATTACCAAAACTGTTGTCCAGAGGGCTGAGGAAGGGTTGTTGAGGTGGTTCGGACATGTAGAGAGAATGGAGCGAAACAGAGTGACTTCAAGAGTGTATCAGTCTGTAGTGGAAGGAAGGAGGGGTAGGGGTCGGCCTAGGAAAGGTTGGAGGGAGGGGGTAAAGGAGGTTTTGTGTGCGAGGGGCTTGGACTTCCAGCAGGCATGCGCGAGTGTGTTTGATAGGAGTGAATGGAGACAATTGGTTTTTAATATTTGACGTGCTGTTGGAGTGTGAGCAAAGTAACATTTATGAAGGGGTTCAGGGAAACCGGCAGGCCGGACTTGAGTCCTGGAGATGGGAAGTACAGTGCCTGCACTCTGAAGGAGGGGTGTTAATGTTGCAGTTTAAAAAACTGTAGTGTAAAGCACCCTTCTGGCAAGACAGTGATGGAGTGAATGATGGTGAAAGTTTTTCTTTTTCGGGCCACCCTGCCTTGGTGGGAATCGGCCAGTGTGATAATAAAATAATAAAAATAATTCAGGGAAACCGGTTATTTTCACATAGTCGGACTTAAGTCCTGGAAATTGGAAGCACAATGCCTGCACTTTAAAGGAGGGGCTTGGGATATTGGCAGTTTGGAGGGATATGTTGTGTATCTTTATACGTATATGCTTCTAAACTGTTCTATTCTGAGCACCTCTGCAAAAACAGTGATAATGTGTGAGTGTGGTGAAAGTGTTGAATGATGATGAAAGTATTTTCTTTTTTGGGGATTTTCTTTCTTTTTTGGGTCACCCTGCCTCGGTGGGAGACGGCCGACTTGTTGAAAAAAAAACAAAAAAGAAGGAAGGTTCCACTGTACCTCCCACTAACGATCTCCTTCTTTAGTTTATTCACATCTCTTACCCACTGACATTCACATTGTACATTACCAAAATATTTGAAGAAGTGGTGGAAGCAAGACAGTGTAACACACACAATCTGAACATTTACTCAACCCAGAGGCAGGTTGCTCCTGCCTCTTGCAACTGCTAGAAATTCATTGACACAGGAGATGAATACATGGATGAGCTTGGTTGCAGTGGCTAAGGAAGCCCATTTGGACTTTTCACGAGAAAATTAAATAATTGAGTAGAGTGGTCCTAGGTAGTATGTTGGTAGACAGCAACCGCCCAGGGAGGTACTACCGTCCTGCCAGATGAGTGTAAAACGAAAGCCTGTAATTGTTTTACATGATGGTAGGATTGCTGGTGTCCTTTTTTCTGTCTCATGAACATGCAAGATTTCAGGTACGTCTTGCTACTTCTACTTACACTTAGATCACACTACACATACATGTACAAGCATATACAGTGGACCCCCGGTTTATGATATTATTTCATTCCAGAAGTATGTTCAGGTGCCATTACTGAGCGAATTTGTTCCCATAAGGAATATTGTGAATTAGATTAGTCCATTTCAGACCCCCAAACATACACGTACAAACGCACTTACATAAATACACCTACATAATTGGTCGCATTGGGAGCTGATCGTAAAGCGGGGGTCCACTGTATATACACACCCCTCTGGGTTTTCTTCTATTTTCTTTCTAGTTCTTATTCTTGTTTATTTCCTCTTATTGCCATGGAGAAGTGGAACAGAATTCTTCCTCCGTAAGCTATGCGTGTTGTAAGAGGTGACTAAAATTCTGGAAGCAAGGGGCTAGTAACCTCTTCTCCTGTATATATTACTAAATGTAAATGGAGAAACTTTCGTTTTTCCTTTTGGGCCACCCCGCCTTGGTGGGATACAGCCGGTGTGTTGAAAGAAAGAAGAAAGAGTACAGTGGTACCTCGAGTTTCGGCCATAATTCGATCCAGAAGGCTGTTCGATTGCTGTTACCAAATGAATTTGTTCCCATGAGGAATAATGTAAATTAGATTAGTCTGTTTCAGACCCTGAAAAATACACTTACAATAATATACTTACATAATTGTTCTAATTGGGAGCTGTTCGAAACTCGGGTTACCACTGTATTAAACTTTGACCATGTTTCTTTTTTCTTATATTTCACTTTTATTCAGTTTAATTTTGCTAAACTGTTCCACCCTGTTAGTAACCAGAACTAGAATTATGATAATTCCATTAAAGTTTTCATTCAGATTCTTTCATTTATTTCAGAGTTGGTTTGTTGGCTTCACTCAGTCGAGACAGTGCTGCAGTACGAATATATGACATTCTCCATTACACTCACGGTGGAGAGGATCAGGAGCCTGCAGTAATTACTCGATCTATCAACACTGACTCGAGTACTTACATATCTGCTTTTTCATGGCATCCGACACACGAGAATCGTATTATTACCGCTTCTTATACAGGTAAACTGATATGATTTTCATCATATTTTTTAATACATATCCACTAGGTAATTTACAGGTGATCTTGATACCCCAGGAAATTAAATGGTTATTTTTTTTTCCAGCTGCCAAATTCTTTTGCTCCCAGGCCTCCACTCACACTGCAATACTACTTGGTAGTCACTCTTCACATCCACAACTCCTTCCTCTTTGTCTTGTTTTTATTTCCTTATATTATTTTATTTTTGTTTTGTTCTTGTATCTGCTTTTCCATTTGTATACATTTGTGTGTGCACCATGAGTTTATCCATTGCAGTTACTTCACTTGTATAGTAAGTAATAATCATTATATTGTAGTAGTGAATATTTTAGCTTCAGATAGTCTTTGAAATGTCTGTAATGCATGGAAAGAGATGAAATACAATCACATTCAAAATTTGCAAGCATCCTAATTCATACCTGGAGTATACCTGGAGAGGATTTTGGGGGTCAACACCCCCACGGCCCAGTCTGTGACCAGGTCTCGTGGTGGATCAGGCGCCGATCAACCAGGCTGTTACTGCTGGCCTCATGTAAACCGATGTTCGAACCACAGCCCGGATGATCAGGTACTGACTTTAGGTGCCTGTCCAGCTCCCTATTGAAGACAGCCAGGGATCTATTGGTAATCCCCCTTATGTTTGCTGGGAGGCACTTGAACAGTCCTGAGCCCCTTTCAATTATTGTCTTGTCTCTCAGAGTACTTGTGGTGCCCCTGCTTTTGTTGGGGGGATGTTGCATCTCTTGCCGAGTCTTTTGCTTTCATAGGGAGTGATTTTCATGTGCAGATTTGGAACTAGTCCCTCTAGGATTTTCCAGGTGTATATTATCATGTATCTTTTTTGCCTGCATTCTAGGGAATACAAGTCAAGGGACTTGAACCATTCCCAGTAATTTAGGTGCTTTATCGGACTTATGCATGCCGTGAAAGTTCTCTGTATATTCTCCAGGTCTGCATTTTCACCTGCCTTGAAAGGGGCTGTTAGTTAACAGCAATATTCCAGCCTAGAGAGAACAGGCAATTTGAAGAGAATCATCATGGGCTTGGCATCCTTAATTTTGAAGGTTCTCCTTATTCATCCTATCATTTTTCCTAGCAGTTGTGGTAGATACATTGTTGTGATTTTTGAAAGTGATTTTCTCTGACATTATCACTCCCAGGTCCTTCACATTAGTTTTTTGCTCTACTGTGTAGTTGGAATTTGTTTTATATTCTGATACAGTATTAATTTGATCAAATTTTCTATATCTGAGTAATTAAAAATTCTCATCATTGAATTTCACATTGTTTTTTGCAGCTCATTTAAAGATTTGGTTGTTGTCTGCTTGGAGTCTTGCAGTGTCCTCGATGGATGACACTTTCATGCAGAGGAGGACATGGTGGTGTGGCTTACATCTCTGCCTATGTTAGACATGAGGATGAGGAACAGGATGGGAGCATGTTGTTGTTGTTGGGGTTTATAGGGCCACTGACAGCATACACTGTAATGAGCCCTGATAGGAGCAAGTACTGTATCTTGTGGAACAAAGCTCTTCACTGTAGCCACCTGTGACTTTACTCTGTTTACTCTGTCATTTGCCATGAGATAATTGTCTCAAGGATCTTGCCAGTGATTGACAAGAGTGACACTGGTCTGTAGTTGCTGATTCCTGCTTTGCTCTTCTTTTATTTGAACCGGGACTATATTTGCCTCTTTCCTTAGAGAGGGCCATTTACACTGTGCTAGGCAGTGCTGATAGATGCGAGTTAGAGGTGCTGCTAGCTGGTCTGCACATCTACTCGGCAGTCTTGGGCTCAGCTTGTCTGGGCCCACAGCTTTTTCTTGGTCCAGCAGTTTAAGATGATACACCTCCTCCTGCCTTAGTGTCACCACTGACAGCTTTGACACAATTCTTGCAGCTAGCCAAGGAGGGTCTCTCACTGGATCTGGAATTTGCATCTTGGCAGCAAAGTGTTTGGCAAAGAGGTTGGATTTCTCCTGACTACTTGTAGAGGTGGTCCCATCCTGTCAGTTTAGAGGTGAAATAAGTTTTTCAGGCAGAAAACCTTATCTGTCCTTGACCAGGGACCAACAAGTTTTAGAGCCCACTCTACCTTATGTCAGCTTTCATTTTGTGTCAGCCTACCATTTAGAGATGGCCCACTTTTCAACTTCACCCATATGCCTACAGGCTTGCCAGTGCAGGTTCCTGTTATAGGTAGTGGGAATGTCTCTTATTCTTTCTCAAAGCCTTGTACTGAGCAGTAGGCTTTGTTACATACTGCCATTGAGGGATGTGTTCTTGTTGTAGATTAAGGATATGTTCAGTGAAGGCATTCACTTGGTTACCAACATCACCTTGGAGAAGAGCATTCCAATCAGAGGTGGCAAGTTCAGAGCAAAGGGCTGGCCAGTTTCCTCTTTTCCACAGGCAGGTTGTATGTGAAGATTCCTCACCTCGTTCTGTTGGGATCTCCAGTGTTGTAAAAACAGCCTTGTGGTCAGACGATCCAACATAACTGAGGGGTTGACAAGTGACTATACCTTCAGACAGATCACTCAATACTGGATTGAGGGAGGAGCCAGAGATGTGAGTAGGGAAATCAACAAAGTTTCTCATGTCAAACACTGCAAGGTCATCAATGTCCCTCTGTATAAGATGTTGGTTGAGGTCCCTCTCTCCCTCCCCCTCTCTCCCTCCCCCTCTCTCCCTCCCCCTCTCTCCCTCCCCCTCTCTCCCTCCCCCTCTCTCCCTCCCCCTCTCTCCCTCCCCCTCTCTCCCTCCCCCTCTCTCCCCCCCCCTCTCCCCCTCCCCCTCCCTCCCCCTCTCTCCCTCCCCCCTCTCTCCCTCCCCCTCTCTCCCTTCCCCTCTCTCCCTCCCCCTCTCTCCCTCCCCCTCCTCTCCCTCCCCCTCTCTCCCTCCCCCTCTCTCCCTCCCCCTCTCTCCCTCCCCCTCTCTCCCTCCCCCTCTCTCCCTCCATCCCTCTCTCCCTCCATCCCTCTCTCCCTCCATCCCTCTCTCCCTCCCCCTCTCTCCCTCCATCCCTCTCTCCCTCCCCCTCTCTACCTCCCACCCCCTCCCCCACCCCACCCCCTCCCTCCCTCCCTCCCTCCCTCCCTCCCTCCCTCCCTCCCCTCCCTCCATCACTATCCCTCCCTCCCTCCCTCCCTCCCTCCATCACTATCCCTCCCTCCCTCCCTCCCTATCTCTCTCTCTCTCCTTTTCTCTCTCTCCATATCTCTCTCTCTCTCTCTCTCTCTCCATATCTCTCTCTCTCTCTCCATATCTCTCTCTCTCTCTCTCCATATCTCTCTCTCTCTCTCTCTCTCTCTCTCTCTCTCTGTACCTCTCCGTATCTCTCCATATCTCTCTCTTCGTATATCTCTCCGTATCTTCGTATATCTCTCCGTATCTCTCTCTTCGCATCTCTCTCTCTGCATCTCTCTCTCTCTCTCCATATCTCTCTCTGTATCTTTCTTCATATCTCTCTGTATCTCTCTCTCTCTCTGTCTCTCTCCATATCTCTCACTCTCCATATCTCTCTCTCTCTGTATCTCTCTCCATATATCTCTCTCTCCATATCTCTCTCTATATCTCTCTCTCTCCATATCTCTCTCTCTGTATCTATCTCTCTGTATCTATCTCTTTCTCTCTCTCACTTTCGTTACTTCGTCATAAAATTCCAGCAGACTGACAAGACACAATATACCATTTCTGAGCTTATGCTAGTCATTGTTTATGAAACTACTACACCAAGTGTAGAGCGCAGTGCCTGATCTCTCGGAAGGAGGGTTAGGGATCTTGCAGTTAGAGAGTAATCTGATTGTGATGTCCCACATTTTGGTGAATGTATTTTCTTCTTTGTTGTACCCTATCTTGGCAGAAGACAGCTGTTGAGATCAAAATAAAAATGGTTACATCATCAAATTTGTGAGGGGTTTATGTTCCTAGAGACTTCATGAAACTTGAATTTGTGCATAATGCAAAAATCTGTTCATGCAATAGTACTGTATTTTATTTTGGGCTCATTTTGCATTTCATGAACCAAATGTTTTTAAACATTGCTTTAATTTGGTAATTTTACTCCCATCTGGGGTTTGTACTGGTCCTATTTTTATGACTTGCATTGGCTTTCTGTCAAAGCAAAAACTTAATTTGAACTCTGTTTATAAATATTTTAAGCTATTAACCCTATCAGGGTCCGTCCTGTAGATCTACAGCTTTGAAGCCAGTGTCCAAGCCGTAGATCTACACCAAAATTCTAGCAGCTTCAAGTTTAGAGCGAGAAGGCTGGTAGGCCTACATCTGAGAGAATGGGTTTTCGTGGTCACTGTGCGCAGTAAACAAAAAATCAGGGCACCTGCATTGCATTGTGGGAATGCAATCTCACTACGCTTTGTTCATCATGCCTTGTGGCAAGGAAGCTCTCACTCCCTGGCGAATTCTGACTCTCTTCTTCCGAAGTTATAGTTCTAATACTGATGGAAGTGGATCTGAAGAGGAATTCTATGTACCATATGGTACAGTGGTACCATATGGTCCAGTGGTACCATATGGTCCAGTGGTACCATATGGTCCAGTGGTACCATATGGTCCAGTGGTACCATATGGTCCAGTGGTACCATATGGTCCAGTGGTACCATAGGGTCCAGTGGTACCATATGGTCCAGTGGTACCATATGGTCCAGTGGTACCATATGGTCCAGTGGTACCATATGGTCCAGTGGTACCATATGGTCCAGTGGTACCATATGGTCCAGTGGTACCATATGGTACAGTGGTACCATATGGTACAGTGGTACCATATGGTACAGGGGCCCTAGTGGAAATAAGTCACTTTGGCTTTTTTGGGTTATCCTATGTTCTCCACACATGCTGCTATGTATGATAATTTATGTAAATGTTTGTGTATACCTGAATAAACTTACATACGATGCCACATGCGCTCGAGTAAGTTTATTCAGGTATATACAAATACACTTATATACATAGATTATCATACATAGCAGCATATGTGTAAGAATCCTAGAATAACCCAAAAAAGTGAGAGTGACTTTTTCCATTGGGGTCCCTGTATCTGTACCATATGGTACTTTATACCATATGCAATTCCAAGGGGACTGAGTACATCCTGTGGCCCTACACCTGGAATAGACAGTGAAAGTAACGATGATGTGGATACAATTAGGATGAATAGACCACATGCATCAGTAGATGGCTTGCAGCATGCGAGCGTGCAGCATGCGAGCGTGCAGCATGCTGCACCAACCCAGGCTGAGACCCAAGCCGTTGACTCAGCAGTTCCAGGACAAAGTGCATCGTTATCCACCAGTGGAAGGAGACAACTGTGGCTGAAATGTATTCATTTTTTGCAGCAATAATGCTCATGCCTCATGTCTAGAAACATAATATAAAATTGTACTGGTCCACAGATGAGTAAGACATCACTGTGCATGACACCTTGTTTCAAAGACTTTCACAGACTGAAGGAGTTCTAGGAACATGTCCAGTGACTGTACATATGTAAATATATAATAGAACATTACTAATATACAACATTAATATACAATATTAATGTAGTTATTGTGTTGAATACAACAAGTGTACATATGTACATTATGCATTATATTGGTCTCACAGGCCACAAATGTTACTGGAAAAGAAACAAAATTAGAAAAGAAAAGAAAAAAGTAAAATAAATGCGACTTTACTGGAGTTGCCAATGTTGCCGCCACCTGGTCATTGAGGGTCAACTTCACGCCTCTTTGTCTTGGAAAGTACTGATAGGATTTTTTTTTTATTATTATTACCCATAGAAAAATCTTTAATTCTGTAAGTTTTTTTTTTTTTTTTTTGAAAATTGTTGGACCCTGGCTGTCACTCTGAGATTTGGCCTCTGGACCCTGAAAGGGTTAAATGTCGTAGTATATGTGGGTAGGGTGGGGTGGCCTAGCTGGCTACCATACCTCCCACACCTGATTTCTTACAACAAATACTACTCATCTCACCCTACATTAAGACTACAAATATTTTAAGGTAAGTAATGAGTGTACTATATGTGTATTTCACTTTTTTATTGTTTTTTAATGTGTAGTTCTATTGCTAACGTAATATATATTAATGTAAACTTGTTATCTAGTATTTATATGCATTTATAAGTGGGAAAAAAAGACATTCTGCTTTACGGCGATTTCCGCTTTACTGCGGTAGCCTGGAACCTAACCTGCCATATAAGTGGGGCCCTACTGTATACACATATATATGCACACCCATTTTTTTTTCTATTTTCTTAGTAGTTCTTGTTCTTTATTTTTTTTATCTCTATGGGGAAGTGGAAAAGAATTCTTCTTCCATAAGTAATGTTTGTTGTAAGAGGTGACTAAAATGCCCTGAGTAAAGGGCTAGTAACCCCTTCTCCTGTATAAATTACTAAATATAGAAAGAAAAACTTTCTTTTTTGTTTTTAGTTCATCCTACCTTGGTGGGATGCAGCTGGTGTATTGAAAAAAGAAGTTCTGCGCTTTCAGTATATTTGTTTGTTGATTATGCTAATGCAGATTTAAAATGACAAAAAAGTTAAAACTTCTTCTTTCAACAAACCAGCCATATTCCACTGAAGCAGGGTGGCCCGAAAAGAAAAACAAAAGTCTCTCTTTTTAGCTTTAGTAATGAAATACATTTATTTTTTTGTCACACATTAAATAGCTTTAACATGAAATCCTTAAAAATCATATGAAAGTAAAATAAGTTATATCACTAATTAGGTAGCATTAAATATTTTTTTAATTTCTTTTAATTATACTTTTTCTTGTATATCATTGTATTTTAACTTCTGTGTATCTAACTGTAGACTTCAGTCACTACATAGTTCAGCAATAGATCAGTTATTGCTTAATGTAAAACAGTATTAATGAAAATTTAATGGCTAACGCAGAGCAACATGGAGTTGAAGCTCCTAGAATAAAGCCACCGAGTAACTGAAAAATGTGATGGTAGAAAGTCAGTCAAGCATTAACTGAAAAACACTTTTCACATGACCTGTGTGAGGTCCACTCATTGACATCTTGCAGACCACCTATTAAAAAATGCTGTATTAAAGTGTTATGTAGTGTTGTGGTAGCTATTGTCTAAGGAACAACTTAGTATTATCCTTATTCAAAGCATTACTCTCAAATATGATATTTCCACTGCCTCAACCCTTCTCTTGGCTGCAGAATTATATGGGTAATTGCTAGTAGTTAAAATAATGAGTAGATGGCTTCATTATTTGCATGAGATAAGTTCATGACACTGTTCATGTTCTTGTTTCTTATCAATGTAAATACATATTGCCAAACTTTTTTTAGGAAAACTTGTTGACTACAATGTTCATGAAAGAATTACCCTCAACTGGTCGGCAACAAGTGCCCTGATGTGGACTAATGGCAAGAAGATGCTCCAGCAGATAGACTGCCAGCACCCTGTGTATTCTCACTTCGATGACATCTCAATTGCCATTATGACTCGGGCTCAAAAGAAATATGGATTACATGTAAGATTTTTTTTTTGTATGGCTCATATATGATAACCTCCAAACAGTTTTTACTGCAGGTATAACATACAGTGGAACCTTGGTTGTCGAATTTATTTCGTTCCAGATGTCAATTCAACAACCAAAATGGATGACAACCAAATCAGTTTTTTCCATAAAGAATAATGTAAATAGAATTAATCCATTTCATACCCCAAATGACAATATAATAATTTATTAAAAATATACTAACTAATCCAAGGTAGACTGGTAGACTGATAGATAGCAACTGCCCAGGGAGGTATGTACTACTGTTCTACCAAGTGAGTGTAAAACAGAAGCCTGTAATTGTTTTACATGATGGTAGGACTGCTGGTGTCTTTTTTTCTGTCTCATAAATGTGTAAGGTTTCAGGCATGTCTTGCTAATTCTACTTACACTTAGGTCACACTACACATACATGTACAAGCATATATATACACACCCCTCTGGGTTTTCTTCTATTTTCTTCCTAGTTCTTGTTCTCGTTTATTTCCTCCTATCTCCATGGGGAAGTGGAACAGAATTCTTCCTCTGTAAGCCATGCGTGTTGTAAGAGTCAACTAAAATGCCGGGAGCAAGGGGCTAGTAACCCCTTATCCTGTATAAATTACCAAATTTAAAAAGAGAAACTTTCGTTTTTCTTTTTGGGCCACCCTGCCTCAGTGGTATACGGCCAGTTTGTTAAAAAAAAATATATAAAATATAGGGAGGTACCACCTCTAGAACTTTACTGGGGACTCTCATCCTCAGAGAAGACAGTAAACATACCTCAGGGAAAACTCGAGGTTCTCCCCACAGCTGTTTGAATATTTTCTTCTCCTACCACCCCCTGTAATTTATATTATACAGTGGACCCCCGCATAACGATTACCTCCGAATGTGACCAATTATGTAAGTGTATTTATGTAAGTGCGTTTGTACGTGTATGTTTGGGGGTCTGAAATGGACTAATCTACTTCACAATATTTCTTATGGGAACAAATTCGGTCAGTACTGGCACCTGAACATACTTCTGGAGTGAAAAAATATCGTTAACCGGGGGTCCACTGTATATGTACTTTATTATAGGTAGTAGGTTGGTAGACAGCAACCACCCAGGGAGGTACTACCGTCCTGCCAAGTGAGTGTAAAATGGAAGCCTGTAATTGTTTTACATGATGGTAAGATTGCTGGTGTCCTTTTTTCTGTCTCATAAACATGCAAGATTTCAGGTACGTCTTTCTACTTTTATTTACACTTAGGTCACACTGCACGTACAAGTACAAGCATATACGTACATACACACCCCTCTGGGTTTTCTTCTGTTTCTTTCTAGTTCTTATTCTTGTTTATTTCCTCTTATCTCCATGGGGAAGTGGAACAGAATTCTTCCTCCGTAAACCATGCGTGTTGTAAGAGGTGACTAAAATGCCGGGAGCAAGGGGCTAGTAACCCCTTCTCTTGTATAAATTACTAAATTTAAAAAGAGAAACTTTCGCTTTTCTTTTTGGGCCACTCTGCCTAGGTGGGATACGGCTGGTTTGTTGAAAAAAAAAATGTACTTTTTTAATAGACAGAATACACCTACCATCCGACTTACGACTGAGTTCGGTTCCGAGAAACCGGTCGTAAGTCGAACTTTACTACTGAATATCAACAAAACATTTTTGTAATGACTTTATTTTATTGTTTTATTTTGGTATTTCATGTTTTACTTAACTTTTTATGCTGTTAGTACTGTATTTTATACTGTAAGGTTTAGGATAAACACTGTGTACAACACAAATAGTTGTTTATTTCCCAGAAATTTGGCATAAAAAACACTGTCGTAAGCCGAGTGGTCGTAAGTCGAGCAGGTCGTAAGTCGGATGGTAGGTGTACATTGATAGAAAATGCAAACATGAATACATTGGTACAATATATCAAAGGTTATGAATCTCCTCCAGCTCCTCCGAAGCCAGACACGAGCCCAGTATGCAGCATGTGTTTCCCCCTCTGGATGGCCACGCTGAGGCGCTGGAACATGAAAGTGGCTGTCTGGTGGCGTCGATGAGTCTGGATCCCAGTTCTTTAAGGAAATGTGTGGCACGTTTTCTCCATGATCCCAAGGTCTCTGATCCCACTGGGACAAATTGATACTGTTGGATTATGTCCCTGTACTTGCCAATCTTGTACTCCTCCCTGTGGTCAGTAGCTCCTCCCTGTCACCCGACACTGTGATGGATATAGGTGTCAGCCAGTGTGGAGACACAGGTATAGTCCCATGCTAAGAGTCTGCCATTCTTCCAAGGATAGATGGTGATCCCATCGGGGCAGTTTGCTGGATTGTGGGTATTGTTGGCTGCTAGTGATTGGGGCTCCCTCTCGGCTGGGCATCCAACTGTAGCAAGGGTTCTCTGTGACGTTGATGACCTCATTGTGTCTTGCATGCCAGCCCTTGGTTTTGGAACAGTTAACACCATTTAGACCATATTGATCGACTTGCGCATTGCTGTAAATACATGTATATTCTGTGTGAATTGGGGCAGCAAGGCGCAGAGCCACTGCAGTACGTAGGGTCTTAGGGTTGAGGCGTGTTTCCATTGCCGATATGGAAACTGTTTGTTTATTTCCTCTTATCTCCATGGGGAAGTGGAACAGAATTCTTCCTCTGTAAGCCATGCGTGTTGTAAGAGGCGACTAAAATGCCGGGGGCAAGGGGCTAGTAACCCCTTCTCTAGTATAAATTGCTAAATTTAAAAACAGAAACTTTAATTTTTCTTTTTGGGCCACCCTGCCTTGGTGGGATACAGCCAGTTTGTTGAAAAAAAAGAAAATGTCTGAAAGAGGGTAAGGTACCTAGGGATTGGTGGAGAGCATGTATGATCCCTTTATATAAAGGGAAGGGGGGCAAAAGAGATTGTAAAAATTACAGAGGAATAAGTTTACTGAGTATACCAGGAAAAGTGTACTGTAGGGTTATTATTGAAAGAATTAGAGGTAAGACAGAATGTAGGATTGCAGATGAGCAAGGAGATTTTAGAGTGGGTAGGGGATGTGTAGATCAAGTGTTTGCATTGAAGCATTTTTGTGAAAAGTATTTAGATAAAGGTAGGTAAGTTTTTATTGCATTTATGGATTTAGGAAAGGCATATGATAGAGTGGATAGGGGAGCAATGTGGCAGATGTTGCAAGTATATGGAATAGGTGGTAAGTTACTAAATGCTGTAAAGAGTTTTTATGGGCCATCAACCAAATTTTCAAATGGGCCACTCAGAACAATATGAAGTTCAATGAAGAGAAATTTCAAATACTCAGATATGGAAAACTTGAGGATACAACAGAGTATACAACAAATTCTAACCATACAGTAGAGATAAAAAGTAATGTAAAGGTCCTGGAAGTGATAATGTCAGAGGATCTCGCCTTCAAAGACCACAGCAATGTATCTTCTACATAAGCTAGGCAAATGATAGGATGGATAATGAGAACCTTCAAAACTATGGACACCAAGCCCATGATGATTCTCTTCAAATTGCTTCATCTCTTTAGGCTGGAATACTGCTGTACACTAACTGCCCCCTTCAAGGCAGGCAAAATTGCTGTCCTGGAGAGTGTACAAAGAACTTTCATGGTACACATAAGTACGATAAGGCACCTAAATTACTGGGAACAGTTGAAGTCCCTTGATTTGTATTCCTGGAATGCAGGCGAGAGAGATGCATGATAATATACACTTGGAAAATCCTAGAGGGATTAGTACTAAACTTGCACACGAAAATCACTCCCTATGAAAGCAAAAGACTCAGCAGGAAATGCAACATTTCCCCAATGAAAAGCAGGGGTGCCATGAGTACACTGAGAGACAACACAGTAAGTGTCAAGGGTCCAAGACTGTTCAACTGCCTACCAGCATACATAACGGGGATTACCAATAGACCCCTGGCTGTCTTCACAAAGGCACCTAAAGTCAGTATCTGACCAGCTGGGCTGTGGTTCATACATCAGTTTGCATGCAGCCAGCAGTAACAGCCTGGTTGATCAGACCCTGATCCACCACAAGGCCTAGTCTCAGACTGGGCCACGGGGGCATTGACCCTTGAAACCCTCTCCAGGTATACCCTGCTTTGGTGGGATACGGCTGGTTTGCTGATAGAAAGAAGTACTAACAACTACACAAAATTCAAAATGAATACTAAAAGAAACTTTTCGACCACTTTTTTGGGCAAATTTTTACCACGGGTTTCGTACATCCACTCGGAAATCATCTGTACCAGATGCGTCTGTCTGGGCCGCTCATACGTTCATGATACTAATGTGTAATAATAATCACTCATGATTAATCCGTTCCAAAAAGTCTGCCGAAGGATAAAATTACTGAATGGCGAGACCATTCTCCCCATAAGAAATAACGGAAATAAAATTAATCCATTCCAGACACCCAAAAATATTAAAAAAAAATTTTTTTTTTTTCATATTGAAGATTTACATACAGAAAACAATGAGAAATCAAGTACATACATCTATAAAATAATAATAACATTACACTTACCTTTACTGAAGACTTCTGGGTGGATAGGAGGAGGGAAAAGGATGAAGGTGCACTATTGTTTGGAAGGAGAATCCCATTCCATAAAGACTTCAGGTTCCAAGTCCTTATCTGGGGTTACTTCCCATCTTTGTTTTTTAATGCCACTGGGAACAACTTGAGAGTCACTGGACCCCTGCCACACAAAATATCTGTTCAGAGAGCTCTGTTTCTGGCGATTTTTTAAAGTTTCCCTAAAATGGGACGCAACATTGTCCTTGTACATGTTGTCAACACGGCCTGCAACAGCTTTGTCAGGGTGAAGTTCATCCATAAATGTTTGCACTTCAGTCCACTTTGCACAAATGTTCTTAATCTTTGAAGAAGGCACCTTCCTCCATCTCTCTTCCTCCTCCTCTGAAGCAATTTCTTGAGCTGTGGTCTGTTGCTGTTGGAGATGAGGTCTTGCAGCTGTTTAGTGGTTAGCTCTTCA